CAACGCCGTCATACGGCGATGGAGCAGGGGCAGGAAGACAGCGGCCAGGGACAGGATGGCCCCCGGGAATGCCGGAGGCTCTGGGGGCCAGAAAAGCAGCCAGTGAAGGTGGGCCCAAGTGGCGCAGAGCCATGAAGAGCTGCCGGGCCGGGGGAGGAGGAGGCTAGGAACCAGGGCCCCAGCCGAGTGACCTGTTCTCTCTCTTGCGGTGAAGTTGTCTCCTGCGTTGATTTGTCGTGCGTTCTGCTTCTGTGGGCAGGACTGAGGCAACGCAGCCACCAATGGGTAGAGACACCTTCTGAGTGACAGATCAGGCTGCCAACTGATTTGGGAGCACATGGAATGTTGCCACCCAAAAACAGAATTATTATAAGGAGAGAAAATGTCAGTACATGTTTTTCCCTTACGTGGGAAATGTCTCTCTCAAAAGACCAACTGGAGTGTTAAAAACCACTTGAATTTTTTATTACAGATCCCCAAAATTTGGATAAATTTTACTTCTATTGAGCCTCTCCCCTTGCTCCTTCATTCAACAAAGGGTAGTTTTAACTTTTAAAACTTCTGAAATTCCTAGGATGGTTAATTTTCTTTTAAATAAGATGCTACTAAATACAGAATTCATATTGACCGTGTCTTTGAAAATAATTTAGTTCATTCTCTTGGTGTGGCTGATTCATTTGATGGGGAGAATCAGATTTCTATTAAAAAGAAACCAGAAGAGACATGCATCCAGCCAAACATAAACTTAATTGATATAGAAACTAATTTCTCTGATCCCCTAATTGAGACTTTAACAAATGAGCAACACATTCTGGCTGAAAAACTCAACAATTTAAAAGACAAACTACTGTCTGCTACCAAAACAGGAAAAGAGTTAAAGGAAGGTATACCTACTAACTCTAACTCACTCAGGTAGTGTCAAGAAAAGGTCAAACTGTTGACAAAAGCATTAGGAGTAATGTGATGCATAGTCAAACACAGAAGTACTTTCAAACAGAAAAAATTGTTGAACACAACATGGTTTATATGACTGAACCTTCCTTAAGTATCCCATTGTCTCCTAAAGTGGTAATCTCTAATGTGTCAGTTCCTAAATTGACTTATGATTTTTTAAAAGCTAATTGATTAAATTTGTATAAGCCTCTAAAGTCTTTAGTTAGTTGGGATACAGCAGGACTTAAAAGAAATCAACTAGACCCTGCTACCCTTAAATACCTACAACAATTTGATTGCCTTCTCTTGCAAAAAACATGGTCTTTTGATGTAATTCATCTTGATAGCTATAATTCTTATTATCTACTGGCAATCAAAACTGTAGGGCATCCAAAAGAGGGCCTAGCCTGTTATATTTCCAATTTTTTTTCAGATCAACAAGCTTTACAATGTGCACCTCAGAATTTAACAATCACAAGGGAAATTTAGTCCTCTGAGTCATTTTGGTTAATGTATACTTACCACCTCGGAACAAAAAACAGGACTCTGATGCACAATGGACCATTTTGGAAAATTATATTCTGAATTTACAATTAGGCTATCCCGATGCTATACTATTTATTGCAGGAAAATGCTAGAATAGGAGCAGACGATTATACCTTATTGAAATCCCAGTTATGGGATCATACACCACCTGACTTTATGCCCACAATGGGAGCATGTGGATCTAAGGATAAAGGTATAAATTATTCAGGCATCAGATTAACACAAATAATCATGAACATAAATTTATTCTTATTAAATAGGGCCACCTACTTGAACCACATGGAGATTTTACCTTCCATTCCAAAAGGTGTGCCGGTGTCATAGATTATTTTATAATTTCCTCATATAATGCTATGCCTTTAGAAAAGTTATAGGTTGCTGATATTTTAACCAGCAACCATTTCCCGCTGGAATTATACCTTAAATCAAAAGGCCTCCCATGTGTCCGTGAGGAAAAAATAATAGTTAGGAGGAAATGGGATAAAAATTTAGCTGCAGAAGCTAGCAAAATAATGAGGTAGGAAGAAATGAATCAGATTGTGTCAGCAGCATCCAAAACTCCCAGTACTGAAAATGTCTTTTCTAAACTGAAGGCTCTAATCAGCTTTTTTACTCCAATTTTGAAAAAAAAAAATTGAAGAGGGACAGGTACAGCAGAAATCACTGGTTTGATGGAGACTGGAGACTGCAAAAAAGAACTCTTAGGAAATCATATGCTACATTTAAGAAGCATCCTATTTCTTACAACTGTCATAGATTTCTCCAGTGCTGGTGATACTACGACTGTCTACTCAGAACTAAAAAGAGATAATTATGTCAGAAAGAATACTCAAAGATAATATCCCTTGCTAAAAAAGGAATCTTACAGACTTCTGGCACAAATATAAGATCTTTAGCTCTCAAGTGGATCCTGTACCTACAATTCCATCCTCCAAATGGGAACAGCATTACAAAAAAACTTTGCTACAGCTAGGGATAAACTCAAAATCCCAGTTAATCTAAAGATTTCAACATCTCCAAGCTGGCTAGATGTCTCAAAAATGAACGTAGTTAAATAAAATCTTTAAAACCTGGAAAGTCTCCAGGTTGTGATTATATTTCACCTAAATTACTAAAACTTGACCCAGATTGGTGGGCTTCCTTTCTGTCCCCGTTATTTACTGAGGTAAATCAGACTGGAGAAAGACCTGATAGATAGAAATTAGTAATTGTAGTTCCATTTTTCAAAAAAGGAACAAAAGACAATCCAGCCAACTATCACCCTATAAACTTACTCACTGTAAAAGGCAAGCTTTATGCTAGTCACTTAGCCAGCAGGCTGAAAGTATGGATGAAAGACTCACACATCTTAAACAATGCCAAATATGGATTTAGGGGGGAAATTCCTGCATGCATCATTGCTTCATGTTATCTTCTCTAGCGAATAAATATACAAAAGGTTCAGTTGGTGTACTTTACTGTTAGTTTATCGATCTCTATGGTACGTTTGATTCTATATCTCTCATTAGACTTTGGAAAGAAGACACTGAGGTAACATGTAACCCTGTAATCCAGTCCAAAGACAACATATGAAAACAGCTCTTGCAATCTTCCAAACATAAGAAGGCCACCAGAAGATGGTATCATGTGGCTCGAATCACTGGCTGCTCGGTAAGGGCAAGTGAAGGTCTTTCATGACACTTTCCCATCTTAAAAGGCCTGATCCAAAGTATGTTTTCTTTTTACCCGCAGGGGAAGGCATTGCCTTCATGCTGTGGTTGTGGCATTTGATAAGTCACAGTAGGGCATTGAACACCAGGCTAGATGGGCCGTCGATGTAATCGAGAAGCACTCTTTTTACATTCTTCAGCATGAATCTGCTTAATTTTATCTACCATTGCTCTATATTGGCCCCTGCCACACGGCAGGGGAAAAGCCCTTTAAAGCGCGGCTTTTAAAAGCCGCGCCAACGTTGATACGGCTCGGCGGGATCCCACGGATCCCCCGGCCGAGCCGCCTTTTCTCCCCGGCGCGATCAAACGCCGGAGAGAAAAGACGGCTCTAACCGGGAGCCGGCCGATCTGCGCATGTCGGAGCATGCGCAGTTCGGCTCCGGCCCGGGCTTGAGCCGGCGCAAGGGAGCGCCGGCAATCAGACGCCCGGGAAGAGGCGCCTCATCCGTTTGAACCACCGAGGTAGGTGGTTCAGTTTGAGGCGGTTCTTCCCGGGTTTGGGCCAGTTTGGAGGCGGAAGCAGAATGCTTCCCAGATGTTGTGGTGTGATCGCGCTGCTTTGATCCGCCTCCAAACTGTCCCGTTCCCGGGCCAAATCGCCTCGTGTGAACGGGGCCATTTTTTAAAAAAATACTTTCTCTGTTTTCCTACTTTCTGTAAGCCAAGGCTGCGATCAGATGAGCTGTTTGATCTGGTGTTGTTGCTGTTCTCTTTTGGATTTAAAACACATAATCAGACAGCAACATCTGTCTCCCATTACCCAGTCATTGGCACCCCATTCTCACCAGTCTTCAAATTGGAGTTATTTGACACAGGAAAGTCCAGTTCTTCCTGGTGTCAGTGGTCTCACCCCACATCTCTGGAAGTCTGATCAACCCATCACACTCTCAAACCATTTGGGAAGTCTATATGTTCCCTTCCAGTTTGGGGCACTTTTTTTGAGGCAGTTAGCAAGGTGTGCATAACTGCATATTCACACCATGGCTATAAAGCACCACATGTGCATTTACTTTTTACAGACATCTCTCTCACTCTCACAGGAGCTTCTCAAAACTGAGTTTTTCTTTTAAAAACTTCCAAAGCACAGTTTCAAAAATACTTCCCCCATACTGTACTACATATGGATGGAAGTATGGATGGAAGACTCAAACATCTTAAACAATGCCCAATATGGATTTAGGAAAAAACTGCACTACATATCCCAGCAGCCTCCTCCAGCAAGCCTATTGGCCACCAGCCACCATCCTGCGAGGAGTTTGAACTGCTGCTTCCAATATGCACTTATGCACATGCTCAAAAGACAAATAATTTTTAAAAAGCTGCCTGACTGCCCAAATCCATGGCTGCCACGTCTGATTGATCAACCATGGGGTGAGTATGTGGTGAAGTGGGTTAAGGGTAAGATGTCTGATCAAAACTCTCAGTTACAAAAAAACCCTGGATAAATTAGAGGCAGGGCCAGACTGTGCTAAGCCTGTTGTCTGACTGCAGCCCATGATTCAGTAGCTTTAGTTGAAGCCCTGAAACCCCCCAAAATTAAAATTAATGTGACTGTCTGCATATTTTGTAAAATGTTTTGTAATAATTTTGTAAAATAAATAAAATTAACATATTTTTCCTAGAATTTCACTGATGCAAACAGATGAATTAGTCATCTGTGTCTTGATTCTGAACTGAGATCAGGCTGAATGGTCAGGTAATGCTTTACCTTGAACTGCATTGTCTCATGACTGCAGACTGGATTAATTAGCAACTCTGTCTTCTGTCCAAAAAGGTATCTGATGGCTGATGCTCACTCTTAAAACTTACCAGTGCTCTGTGTCTCCAGTAGTTTCTGCATGGTGCTATATGGACCCGGAGGGATGTTAAGGTTCATCAAGGTGTTAGCCCCAGGATTGATTGCAGGCTCACCTACACATTTATCTTTCAGCAGCTCATGGGAGCTACTTGGGTGCACAGTAGGGTAGACCTTGCTGCCAACCACAGTCCTGGGAAACACCTCTGGGCCAGTTAAACTGAGGCCAGGTTGAGGGAGAGATGATCTGTAACGGAGTGGCTCAAAATGACAGTCTGCATGATAGATGCTGTGAACAGATTCAGTGTTGCTGGAAGCAGCATGAGGATTGGCTGTAGGAGGGAGCATTAGCCTATTGGCTCCATTGTGAAGGGAGCTGGTTTCAACATCACTGATTTCAGGACTGGCACGCGGTGCCTGTAGGCTTCCATTGCCCAGGTGATAGTGGTGATGGTGATGGTGGTGGTGGTGAATGAGATGATGCACTGATGACCTTTTCTGTGGCCGACGCTTGCATGGCTGTCTCTCTGCACTGGTTTTGCTGCCTGGGCTGGAAAGAAACCCCATTTTCACCCCTGTGGTTCGGTAGGCTTCCACCAGCTGCTTGCTGGCCTTCCGAAGGATGTAGATGAGATATTTCAGAAGTTCATCATAGCAGCTCCCTGGCTCTGAAAAGCTGGCCAGAGTGCTTGCATTGGAGAGGTAGCGGATTCGCTGCTCTTTCATCAGCTGGCTCTCTCGTTGCTTGGTCTCTGAAAACTGGGTTGCTATGACCACTAGGCAGAGATTGATCATGAAGAAAGAACCAACCTAAAAGACAAAGAGGTTATGTGATTTACTCAAGGAAGCAATCTGCAGAGTAAGTATCTGAGAGGGCGAGGTTACTATAAGCCATTTCATTTCAGAATTAACTCTGGCACAGAATGAGTTTACAGTGGGAATTAGCACATGATTTGTAAGAAAATTATAATTCAAAACAACAAAATAAAAAGGAAAACTTAAAGTCCCATTCATTTACTACAGTAACTTGTCAGAAATGCTTAAAGAGTTCAAAGGCTAACATGACTGCTCTAGGAAATACTTTTACACTTTGTGTCCTCTACTGAGAGCTTGTTAAGAATTCAAAGAATAATAAAGCATAACATATGTGTGTGTATGGATAGACAGACAGATAGATATAGCACATTATATAGGGGTGTGCATTTGGTAAAGCCGAACTGACCCCCTCCCCAGGAAAATGACTTTTCAGCATTTTTTGGATATTCAGCATACCAAATCAGATTCCCTGCTATGATTCGGCTGCCAAATACTGAATGCCAAAAAATTCCAGGATGTGGAACTTTTTTTTGGCATTGCCGAATATGGGCTCTGGGAGGCTTTAAACTTTAAAGGGCTCCACTTACCTTCGTTTCCCCACCATTTTTATCTCTTTCCCGCCATTTGCTCTGCTTTCCAGGAGGGAGGGGGAAGATGGACCTTACAGAGAGCCTATCAGTACAATGCATTAGCAAATGCCATTGCAGCTTGCAAGGCTGTTGTTGCTGCTGGCTTCATTTGTTGAAGCCCAACTACTAGCTTGTTGCTTTCTCAAGGGAGGAGCACTGGCCAATAGGATTTAGCATACTGCTCTTGGGCCAATCACAGAAGTTTGTTCTTTTTTGTTCTTCTGTGTATGCCCAGAGAGCATAAAAACAGGGGTCTCTGGCTGACTGACTCCATTCTTGCTCCTGATGCTGAGAGAGCCTGGGCTGGAGATTGTGTGGCTGGCTTCTGCTTCAGCCACTGCTCTGAGCTTGCTTTCCTGCTGCAGACTGTTGGACGACTTCGGATCAAGAATCCATCCTGCCTGCTGGACAACAGAAGAAACCTGAAGAGAAGACATCACACTGGTTTGACTTATTAGGGCCACTTTTTAAAAACTTTTCTTATTTTGTTGTGGGTTGGTGGGTTTGGGGCCTGGGGGCTTTGGTGGTGGGTAGGCCTCTGGGCCACTCAGGCCTCTGCCTGGTTTTTTTTGGGGGGGGGCGGGGGTCTAGTTTGTGGTTTTGTTGCCAGCCTGTCTGACTAGGCCTTCTACCTGGGGCCTAGGCTATCTGTTTTTGGTTCTTCTCTGTTTTGTGGTTCTGTTGCCTTTTAGCGCTTTAAATTTTTAAAGTTGTTGTATTGTGTTTATATTTCTCTGGGCTTGTTGGGGTTTTTTTGGGGGTGTGTGTGACCTCTCTCTCTGAGTAGGCCTTTTGCCTGGGGCCTAGGCTCTCTGTTTTTGGTTCTTCTGTTTTGTAGTTCTGCTGCCTTTTAGCACTTCAAATTTTTTAAGTTGTTGTATTGTGTTTTATATTTCTGGGCACTTTTGGCTTTCTTAGGGGGGGATCACTGCTCTGTGTGTGCTTCTGGTTTAGATGCTGCATTGTTAAATCTCAGTATAGGGCTTTAGCTGTTCTATCTTTAACTAGGCCAGTGCTAGGAGAACTAAAAGAGGCCAGGTTTGTCTTCAGCTCATAAAACAGAGGTATAAGTAGTGTATATTAATTTTTCAAAAAGTAGTGTGCTCTTTGTGCTCTGATTGAGCTTTGTAGAAGGCAGGCACTTTTTTCAGAGAAATGTTTCCCCTTTAGCTTGTGTGTTTTCATTTAGGGAGCACCTGCATTTCTACAGGAAATCAGGCTGGTTCCAGTAGAATCTAGGTAGTAGTAGATTGATTAAAGAAAGACCCTAAAACTTTTTTAAATGTTTCCAATCCACATCTCAAGGATAGTCCTTAAACCATAGTCAGGGTCAGTGTAGGAATTCACCACTAGTTCTAAAAAACAAACCAAGAAAAAAAGAAAACCCAAACTGAAGCAAAGCTAGGTTAGGCTCTACTGAAAGAAACAAAAAACTAGTTTTTGGATGGGAGGGTTTATAAAAATATGTAAGGCTGTTTTAGGGTCAGGTAGTAGTGCAGGTGCCTAATACCCTCCCCACAAGTTAGGCTGAATTTGGCCCAGGGCAACATGAGTGGCAGGAAGGGAACACAGAGGGGCCCTGGGGCAAGGCTAAGGAGAAGACTAGAGGGGTGGAGGGGAGGGCCACAATTTTCCCCACACCTCTGTGCAGGACTGCTCCAGAGTCACCTGGCACCTATCTGACCTCTGGCTGGAGTGGTGCAATGAAGAGGCCATGCTTGGTCCTCTTCCCTAAGGCTGCTTCTGGGGGGGCCCCAGCAGAGGTGCCTGCAGGTGCTGGCACTGGGCAGGGGTGTGCTGCTCAGGCAGTCCCTCCTCAAGCCATTGCTCCTGAGGCTCAGCAGCAGCAGGAGGGGCAGCAAAAGCTGTCTTTGAGGTTGAGCTTTGGGGATCATTGACTAAGAGGGCTATAGAGGCACTGGAGGAGCTGGCTGGTCAGCTCACTGCTCCGGTTTCTCTAAGCTCCAGCAGGCCTTCTGAGAGACAGGAGAAGAGGCTGGGAGAGGTGGGAGGTGCACCTCAAGGTCCTGCCATCTCAACCCCTTCCTCCTGCTCAGCCATCTCTTTCCCCCCCAAGGCACAGTGTGTCTGACCCGAGCCCCTCATAGGAGGTGGCTCCAGGAGTGCCCGTGGCTGGAAGCACTTCCAGGTGACAGAGGATCCCCACTTTACACAGTGCCAGCTATGTAGGGCCAGGATCATTGAGGGAAGAACATCAACCATCTCTCAACTTCCAGGATGTGGAACTATCTGGAAGGGAGGCTGCTGCTGGGGCGCCCGAGTGGTCACTGCCAGCCATCCAGGAGGTAAGTCATCCTCTGACCACCTCCAGCGCTGTCCCTGAGCATTCCGTGGTAGGGATGGGAGATGCTTGGTGATGTTGGCACTAGAGTGCTGGGGGGGGGGGACAGCCGGCTACCAAGAGGGTCACTTGTCTCATTGCTGAAATGCTTGCTTTAGATGGGTGCCTGTTCTCCACAATTGAAGACGCTGGTTTCCGCAGGCTGCTCCAGGATACCTATTCCTGGTATACACCCCATGATTGCACCATGCTGAGCAGAACCATGATGCCCTCATTGTACAGTGCTGCCAGGGACTACGTGAAGGCACAATTGTCCCGCACTCGTGGGAGAACTGTGCACTTCACATCCGACATCTGGACCTCCTGTCAGGCACATGATTTGTATTCCTCATTGACTGTGCACTGGTGGTAACCAAGTGATGTTTTGGGTGGGGAAACTAGTGTCAGGTAGGGTCAGGGCCACCAGGCCGGCTATGGCCAGGCTCTGCTCCAAATCAAGAAACTTGACAGGCCGCACACGGTGAACAACATCTCAGCCACCATAGAGAGACAGTTAGTGGTGTGGGTGGGTAGGGACCTCACCGTGGGCTATACGGTGACTGATGGTGGCACAAACATGAGGGCAGTTGCAAAGTGACTGGACCTGATGTGCATTTACTGTGCAGCCCACCTTCTCCACCTCATGGTTAAGGATGCTTTGGGGTTGGGTTCTGCAGAGGATCCCAGTTTGGACACTGCAACCCATGAGTTCTGGCATCTCCTCCAGAAATGCCGGTACATCATGGGTCACTTCTCTCACAGTGCAAAGGACACCTTTATCCTGGTGCACCGCCTGTTTGGCGATATCACCACTCGCTGGAATTCCACCTGTGTCATGCTTGAACACTTGGTGGAGCAGGAGAGAGCCCTGACTGCCCTGATCTCTGAGACTGGGGTCATTCAAGAAGAGAGCCGGCTTAACTAGGAAGACTGGTTGACCATCTCTCAGTCTGCAGGAGTCCTTAAGCCCTTTAATAGCTATACAGAAATGCTCTCATCTGACACGGCAAGTCTGGCTCTGGTCATTCCCATGAGCCACACAGCTTGTGAGGACTTGGCCTCATTTCTGGAGCCAACTGCAGGACGTGCAGACATGGTTCCAGCAGTGTGCGTTGCTGGTGAGAAGACTGAAAGATGGACTTGAGGACCACTTTCAGTCTGTTCTCCAGTGGAAGGTCTACATGCTGGCACACCATGTGTGACCTGCGCATCAAGGGCAAGATTGCTGAGTGCGCCAAAAAGTTCACTCAATGGCGAGATGAGCTCTCCTGGCAAGCTGAGCACAGATGGGTCAAGAGGGGAACGTTGGCACAAGCTGAGGGAGAGGGGGGGTGCAAGTGGCTCTACTGCTGTTCATCCCCCACCTCCCCTGCTAGGCAGCTTCCCCCCCACAGCTCCCACTGCGATGACTGTTGAGATGGCAATCATCGGGCAGATCCTTGTGATCGGCAGGCACATGAGAGAGGACACAGCGGCTGCGATGGTGAGAGAGTACCTTTCGGACCCCTATGAGTCACAAGCAACCTGTCTACTGAACTACTGGACCATGAAAGAGGCAGTCTGGCTGGACCTCTCTGTCGTGGCCAAGAAACTACTCTCATGCCTTCCGATGAGTGTGCAGAGTGAACACGGTTTTTCCCACGTGGGCGACATTGTCTGCTTGCATCACTTGTGCCTGGTCAGCTGAGCAGTTGGTCTTCCTGAAGGTCGACTTGCCACTGTTTGGCTTTCCGGTCCTGAACTTTGAAGGTGACTGAAGTGAGCACACATACTTGTGCCTACATCCCCTCTCGGTCTCTGCTGGGAAGTTTGGGCAAAGCACTCTTCCCATAATTAACACAAGAGAGGCTATGGAGAAGTAGCAGCCAGGGCCATTACCATTTTGATTGGTGGGGCATTTCTGTGCCAATCTCCCCACTTCCATCCATTCCACCTGCAGCAGAAATACCTCTACAGAACCCTGGTAGCTGTGCTGCGCAGGGTGATGTTGAAGGTGGTGTGTGTGAGCACATGAGTTATACTACCAGCCACCCCAAGCCAAAATTGCATGCTGAAATTAAAACAGCAGCCCAAAAACTTCTCCATCTTGATGGAAATGTACAACAAGGTAGAGTGGGAAAGCTGCCAAGAAGAACCCAGAAACCAGCAGAACCCACAGGAGCATCATAAATAAAACTGAAAAATGATTTTTCTTTGCAGGAGTGAGGTGGTGTGGTAAAGGGCAGCTGTGGCCCCCAGAGATTCTCAGATTTGTCCTCAGTCCAATTGGGTTTGAGCACTAGCACTGACTGCCACAGTGGCACTGGTTCTGGGGGGCACATTGCACTGGCTCTGCTGCTGGCCTTGCAAACATGCCCCTCACACCACACCTCACTTATTTTCTAGTGCAGAGATTCTCTGGGAGACACTGCTGCCTGCCTTTCCCCCCTTCCATAGGAAATAAGGGAGCCAAATATTTTTGGAAATACCGAATATTTTCAGGTATTGGTATTTGGGTATATTTGGGAATACCGGGAAAAAAATTGGCTTTATTATTCCCGAATCTGAAAAAAGCCTGATTTTTCCTCTCTGCATACCTCTAAGCACATGCTATTGCAACAATCCTTACAACAGCAGTAGAAAGTAGGTCCCTATGTTTACCTCAGTGTTGTACCTGAGATGGCTAATGGCACCTAGTGAGTTCTTCTCCATGGTGAGTTACAACTTCCTGGCTCACATCTCATTCTTAGCTTGCTAGAAATCAGTCTAAAAGTACATGAGAAGAGCTGTTTGAGCTCAGACCAAAGGCCCACTCAGTCCACCATTTTATTTCCAGCAGCATCCACCCGGATGCTGCTGGGAAGTTCAGATGCAGCAAATGATGCAACAGCTTCCCTCTTCCCCAGAATCAGGTATCCAGTGGAATACTAAAGATAGTGATGCATTTGGGTCCAGGCATTGTAGATGTGGCTTACAATTCTATCAAGGAAAATGGCTTGCACCAAAGGCAGATCTCATCTGAAAACAAAATGTAGTCCCCACCCCATCCTCATTCTGAGTTAACAGTAGTCATCATCACATTCTCTGTGACTCACACAGGATGTATATTCCCTGTCCCACTTTTCGTTCTTTCAGCGTCAAAGCCTCCTAAGCAGCTTCACCTCAGGGACTCCCACTCCTTAGCTCTGCAGACAACATCACAGCTCAAAGTAGAACACGGATTTTGTATCAAATTAAAAGAGTTTTCTTTAATTTTGTTTCTTGGTATTCAGTGCTTGTAATAATCACAAATAAGCAGTATTTGCATGTATTCACTGGAAACCCCCCCCCCTTTGACAGATTTGTTCCTTGCAGAGGAGTCTATGGTTCTGGCTTGCAGATTTCCTTCTTTGTTCACTGGGATTGTGGAGATACTGCTACGTAAGAGCTGCAGCTGTCTGCAGCCAAAGATCTGATATTTCACTTTGAAAGAGGATTTTCTACAGTTTTAATACATCATGATAATTATTCCGTCTGAGGGTTTTGAAAAGCAGCCAATAACTCTTTCTCTCCTGGCTGCCTTAAACCTACAGATATACTACCCAAGCCATGCTGAGATTCAGCAGTAGGGTTGCCAGGTCTCCTTGTTGCTTC